CTTTTTGAGTAGGATTTGCAGCTGTCATTGAGTCTCACTGACATACCTGTAACATGAGCCATAGTGAAATAATTTCAGACATGTTTGTTTGAGTAGTGGTTATAGAACTGCTTTAATTTTATGAAGCCGAATAAGCTAAAAATGTTCATTCTGCTAATCACTCACTGGCCTTCTGGTGACTGTACAGTCAGTAGTTTTACCTTGATTCCCAGAAGGCAAATGCATTCATATGAAGACCATTATCAAATTTAGTTGCAATTAATGCTCTTGTTATGAATCTAAAGCTCAGCAAAAAAGTACTTGGAGCCTTATTTGTCCTTTCCAAGAGGTGATCCAAGAAGAGTAGGACATTTCAGAGATACCTGTAAGTGCATTTGGTGTTGACATCGCTGCTTTACAGATTTATACTGGACTCAGCCTCAAAAGGAAGGAAAAATAGGTAATGGGTATTTTACTGCCTATACTCTCTTGTTAAATTGTCTTCATTGTTTTACTTAGCATCTGCCTCACTGAGTACTCATCATCTGCTACTGAGCCATCTGATGTACAACAGATGTTAAGCACTTAGTGAGGCAGAGAAGAAGGTAAGTGTCACATCATGATTAAATACTTGCTATTGTTATTATATAGGCTGACCATACTGCTTTGTTCTTACATTTAATGTTACAGCACATGTTTTGGATTAAACTTGTGACTGCTATTGTTCAAATAAATAACTTATTTTTTCTTAAAGTAAAGCAAGTTCATAGCAGAAAAAAAATATTGCAAAATATTTTCAATATTTTCAATACACTTTAGAATTAACAATTTGAGAGTATTTTATGGAGAGGTAATGCAGTGCAACTTCATGTAGAATTATATTTCACCTACAAAAAAGATTTATAGTTCTCATTAAAATGATTCTCATCAGAAACTTGGCTGATGTTAACTGATACATTAACTTCCACAGGATTATCCTATTTTCATCATGCTTGTGTAAATGTGAGATTATATGGCAAGTTTTCCTTACCCTGTAAGTATTTTAGCTGAAAGCATGGTAGCCAACTCCTTAGTACTTTCTATGCAACAGATGGTTCACCCACAAAACAGTATTATCATCCAGCTACAGTAGCCTGATCTAATAGTAGGAAAAGAGTTGAATGTAAGAAGGTGGAGCCCGATCTGTTATTAAACCATAATTAGTTAACAATCTGTTTCCCATAAAATTTTAAGAATTGAGAAAATCTGTAGAATATTGTCACACACAACTAAGTGTATTCATATTGATGTATATGGTCAAACAAATTAAATTGGGGTAAAAGGGGTTTATCCATGCAAGAGATGTGGTTCATGTGAGTAGAAACTCTTTGCAGTCAAAGGTGAGACTGAAACCTCAGAATAGTGAAGTCCTAATTAAAGGGTAGAAGTATGTGATTTGTGTGGGTTATCTGTCTCAGTGTTCTACCTTGCATAAGTCAAAGAGGCTTGATGGTCTATTTCCTGTAAAGAGAACAGATATTCAACTAACAGGACAATCAGTAGTATTTATGTTTTCATAGAATTCTGGATTTAGCACTTCTTTTATAACTTTGTACTGCTTTGAAAGATTGATTTCAATGACTCAATATTAATAAATAAAAACAATTTAAAAATATTCTTAAGAATTTCCAGGGACCTCTAATTCATTATATAATTTGTTGAGAAGTATGCTATACATATCAATGGTGTTATTTCATTAAATATTATTTTATTTCTAAAGCAAAGTTGTGATTTCAAGTGTATGTTTCACCACAAATAGCTTTTGATTATAGATTGTCGCATAATTTTGAATGATGGTGAAGGCACAGATATTCAGCCATGCCATTTTGATTTAAAGCTCATTGAAGTAACTAGGAAGATTCTTGCTAGTTTCACTAGGTTTGGAAGTCAGAAGTTCTGTATCTCAGTCTCTGGAAAACTAGCATATCAGGCCAGTAAATATAATTTTCCAAATCAGATAATAATGTTTGCACTGTCATTAAAAGAATAATTGGAGATCTCATTCAACCTGCCCTCAGAAGCTAATTGTCTTAATATATTTATTAAATTCTATAAGCAAGAAGCAATTGGTCAAGATAACTTGTCTGGAGCCAGTTGTGCCCAGTATGAGGTAGACCCATGCCTCTTCTCACAGGTGGCCTTCCTGCA